ACGGCTGTGTCTTGGTGCAAGAAAATACACAGCGTTTAATATGTGTTAGTTTTCATCTTCTTTGGTTTCCCATCAGGCTGTTCACTGTTGTGTTAAAAAGTGTGACTGTAATCATGCATCCTGGTTAGAAACTGTCTCCTCTCTTCTGTGTGTAAGGTTCCCCCTCAAAAAACCTCAGCTCACCTGTGAATGGGTAAACAGCCTGGGGATGAAGAACTTCATCCCGACCGCCCACACATGCCTCTGCTCGGAGCACTTCAGGGCCGATTGCTTCAGGGACCTCAACGGCAAAAAGTTTCTGAGGGTGGATGCGGTACCCACCATTTTCAGCCATGGGCAGGATTCATCAAAGGTGTTGTATAAACTATTCCTTTCTAACAGTCATCCTGTTTTATCTCATGTGAAGCGACTCTATAACTGAATATTCCCCCAGATTGATCTTCGTAAATGAGGGGTGATACCACAAACTTATCACAAACGAATGTAATGATGTTGCACATCAGATTAAACGGTAGAACCTGGGCTACAATAATATGTAAGCCGTCTTTACATGCTCCAAACACCAACTAAATTAATTACTAAATATCAAAATCCATATAGCGCTGCCTAGTAAACTCACTCACCACACATCTGGCTCTACCGCTGTGGTACAATACACACACGATATCTTAAAATAAACAGACACTCCACAGATTCCGGATATATACATCAAATCCAGCTACAAATTTGATTCAAATGAGGTGTCATTCACTCAGATCGACCAATCCGTTGCAGAGATATAGTCGTGCATATTTATAAGCATCCTGCGAGACGAAAATCGGCATTGAGCACTGGGACCTATAACGCACAGCATCCACTTGTTTTAACGTTGTGTGTCTAACTTTTACGGTTGTTTTTCCCTACTTTGTTGGAATTTATTTTGTGAAAGATGTCGGAACAAGGACCAAAGAAAAAGTTCACTCCGGTGGAAATCCTGAAAATACTGGAGGACGACCCTGGGAACCTCCTTTGTCTGAGTGATTCATCGTCGGATGACGAGGATCTGGTGCATCCCGAAAAAACACACGACACCAGTAGTGAATCGGATTACCGTCTTCCATCATCGGAAAGGTATGGATTGTCTTGTAAATGTTATATTTATCGATTTATTGGTGTGGAATTCTATATCTATCTAGCTGTGTGTGTGTGCCAAGTTTATTGCATTTATGTTTACATATATTACAATTTCAGAACCAGACCACTGAATGCATATATTTATTTTTCTTCCACATTTGGGTTTACAGTGATGAGGATGACGAGGACTCTCTTGCCAGAGTCCCAGAACCTTCAAGTGCCCCACGGCCAACACGTCCACAATCGGCTCCAGAACCTTCACACCCTCAGCCAGGCCCAGAAGCATCTGCTCCCCCCACGACTCTACACACCCAGTCGTTAGCACCTCAGTCACCTCAGTCGGACCCAGCAGCACCTCCCCCGACCACTCGGTGGAAGAGAGGATGCCCCTCTCTGAGAACTTCTGCTCCAGCTACCAAGCGTGTAAAAAGTAGGTTGGCTTCTACAGAGGAGGAGGATGACGACGACGACGACGACGACGACAGGTGGCATGACAGAGAGGAGGAGTGCATCAAACCTGACCCTCCCAAGTTCATGCCGGCCAGGATCCCAGGCCCCACATGTGACACCACCACAGCATGGTCTCCTATCGGCCTCTTCCAGCTTTTTTTCCCTGCAAATGTTGTCCAAAAAATCATTGACAACACAAATGCCAATGCTGCCAAAAGAAGGCAAGCTGGGAAAAAATTCACCTGGGAAGTGCTCACGATGAAGGACTTCTACACGTTCCTCGCTGTCATCCTTTTCACTGGCTTTGTGACGGTCCACCACAGGTCAGATTACTGGAGGAAGAAATGGCCATACAACTTCCAGTTCCCCGGTGACCACATGACACGGGACCGCTTTGAGTCCATTTTGTGGTCACTTCACCTTAGTGACCCAAAAGAGGACGAGGAAAACGACAAAAAAAGGAACACTGCCGAGTACGACCATCTGTTCAAGATCAAGCCGCTCTACACAGAGATTGCGAACGCCTGCAAAGCCAATTTCCAGCCGCATCAGAATCTGTCCATTGATGAGCGGATGGTCTTAAGCCAAGCAGCCAGCATGAAGGACAAGCTCACAAAGTGGGGTTACAAACTGTTTGTGCTGTCGGATACGTCGATTGGCTATACGTGGAATTTCTTTGTCCACACAGGCAAAAGTGAGTCCGCCACAGGCCACAGTGTGAGTTACTCAGCAGTGATGGACCTTTTGCCTTTTCCTCTCCTTGGCGGCGGCTACTTGTTGTACACAGACGATTTCTACACAAGCCCTGCGCTCTTCACCGATCTGTCCAAAAAGAACATTGGCTGTTGTGGGACCATCAGGAAAAATCGAACTGGCTTCCCTAAGACCCAGACCAACGACCTGCCCAAAAAGGCTGAGAGGGGGGACATGCGTTGGATCCGGAGTGGCAAACTCCTCTTCGTGAAGTGGATGGACATGAGAGAGGTAATGATGTGTTCCACAGTGCATCAGGCCTACAGTGGACAGACTGTGAGGAGAAAGGTGAAGGAGGCTGGGGTGTGGCAGAACAAGTCAATACCAGTTCCGGACTGCCTCGTGGACTACAATCACAACATGGGTGGTATGGATTTGTGCGATGCACTGATCGAATTTTACAGCGTCCGCCACAAGACGATGACGTGGTACATGACTTTTTTTTACCACTTTGTGGACATCGCTGTTGTGAACAGTTATCTTTTGCACAAGGAGCTGTTCAAGTTGAGGCAGGACCCTACCCAGATGGACCCCTTCACCCACAAGGCCTTCAGGGAGAAGTTGGCCAAGGAGATGCTGGAGTTTGCTGAAGGCTCAGCACCCCCCTCCACCACCACCACCTCCTCCCCCTCCACCACTTGCATGCCCATGTTTTTCGACAGCGAGGAAACAAGGGTCAGGAAGTATTGCAAGAGGTGCCAGGATACTGGAATGCTGAGGGTGAAGACATCCACTTGTTGCAGGAAGTGTAAGGTTCCTCTCTGCCTCACCTCCAAAAAGAACTGCTTCCAGCTGTGGCACGATGGACAATAACTTCCTGATGGATGGACCCCACCCAGACAAAAGTCAAAGTCAGCTTTATTGTCAATTTCTCACTATGTACCGAACATACAGAGGAGTTGAACAAACGTTTCTCTCCAGTCCAACATATAAAGTGAATACAGATAATGAAGTGCAAATAGATTAAAAAAAACATTTAGAAACACTATCATTCTGTATTTAGCAGCAGTCAGACATAGGGAGTCTTAAAAGAGAGGAGGGAGAGAGTTCAGCTTCCTAACAGCCTGGTGGACGAAGCTGTTTGAAAGTCTGGTGGTGCGAGCACGGAGGCTCCGGTATCTTCTCCCAGAGGGCAGGAGGCTGAAGAGACTGTGTGAGGGGTGCGCACAATCATGGTCACTTTGCGGGTGAGCCGGTGTTATATATGTCCTGCAGGGAGGGGAGTGAGGCGCCAATGATCCTTCCAGCTGTGTTCACTATGCGCTGCAGACAAAGGCCTTCAGCCACAAGACCTAAATGATGTAAATACTTTGTTGGTTTTACCTTTTTGTTTTTACAGTTTGTATTGTTACAAATGTTTACAGTTTGCTCAAATTAAATCTCTTCCATTTGGATGAAACATTCAGTTGGTTTGTGTGGTTGTTTTTTGAATGGGGAAAATATGTATTTGGATGTATTTAACACCATTAGTAATATACAAGTGAAATATATATAGTTTGGTCCATGAGAAAATTCAAATGGCACACATGATGCCCAAATGCCCATTTTGGAAACCTCGCCTGACCTCGCTGTACTAAAACTGCTCTAATTTTGTTCTGCTTCACTTTATCAAAGTCAAACTTTGCAGAGAGATCTGGTTGCAGGTTGTTTTTTTTAAACAAAGTAGAATGAGGCGATATCGTGGTGTTAACTTTTATGACCACGAAACATGAGGCCCAGATACTGATGAGATGATGAGGTCAAAGAGCTTCAGGAAGAGGAGGCTGTTTGTGTAGCGCAGCTTGATGCAGGGCTGAGATGTGAGTGGAGCTGGGCCTGGATAAAGGTGGAGGTCAAAACAGACGTGAAGGGAGAGCAGTACAGCTTCCCACTGTCACAGTATTTTAAATACATTGATAAGGCAGGGTATGCTAAATGCAGCCTCTGCTCCAAGGAGATAAACTACAGCAACAAGGGCTCACATGCTCTCTCATCACACTGCCAGACACAGTACACTGGCTGTGGTTATTACAGTGAACAAACAGTCCCAACAGTCCCACGTGCAGTTGTTCCCAAGGGCCCTGAAGTAATGAGAGGGTTAAGGTGCCTGTACCTTCATTTCAGCGGGTTGCTAATGCAGAGGTGTGTATAGATCACAGCTATTATTTTACTCTTGATAAACTACAAGCCAAGAGCCCCCCACTCCATGAATGACCTCCGCCTGGCAGACGAGCTGAACGAGTTCTACTGTTGCTTTGACAGACAATGGGACAGCCCTGACTCCATCCCCCACAGCTCCATCAACCAGCCCCAGACCACCGGGTCCCTCTCCCCCAGCCCAGCAGGGGCCCATGCCTCTGTACCACCCATCACAGTGTCCCCCCCGCCCCCCTCCCCAGTAACGACTCTCTATTCGGGAGAGTGACGTCAACAGGCTTTTTAAAAAACAGAACCCCCACAAAGCAGCCGGCCCAGACTCAGACTCAGTCTCCACCCTGAAGCATTGGGCTGATCAGCTGTCTCCGGTGTTCACAGACATCTTCAACACCTCCCTGGAGACATGCCACGTACCAGCCTGCTTCAAGGCCTCCACCATCATCCCCGTCCCCAAAAAACCTAGGATCACAGGACTCAATGACTACAGGCCCGTCGCCCTGACCTCTGTGGTCATGAAGTCTTTTGAGGGCCTTGTTCTGTCCCACCTCAAAACCCTCACCGACTCACTCCTGGACCCCCTGCAGTTTGCCTACAGAGCCAACAGATCTGTAGATGATGCAGTCAACATGGCCCTTCACTTCATCCTCCAGCATCTGGACTCCTCAGGAACCTGCACCAGGATCCTGTTTGTGGACTTCAGCTCTGCCTTCAACACCATCATCTTGTCTCTGCTGCATAGCAAGCTCTCCCAGCTGCACGTGCCCGTCTCCACCTGCAAGTGGATCAGAGACTTCCTGTCTGACAGGAAGCAGCATGTGAAGCTAGGGAAACATGTCTCAGCCTCTCGGGCTATCAGCACCGGTTCCCCCTAAGGATGCGTTCTTTCCCCTCTGCTCTTCTCCCTGTACACCAACAGCTGCACCTCCAGTTACCAGTCCGTCAAGCTCCTGAAGTTTGTGGATAACACCCCCCCTCATTGGACTCATCTCTGGTGGGGATGAGGTCAGCCTACAGGTGGAAGATTGACCATCTGGTGACCTGGTGTGGTCTGAACCACTTAGAGCTCTAAAGACAGTGGAGATGGTTGTAGACTCCCCCGTTGACGCTGTGGAGTCCTTCCGCTTCCTGGGCTCCACCATAACCCAGGACCTCAAGTGGGACCCTAACATCAGCTCCATCACCATGAAGGCTCAGCAGAGGATGTACTTCCTGAGGCAGCTGAAGACATTCAACCTGCCAAAGACAATGATGGTGCACTTCTACAGAGCCATCATTGAGTCCATCCTCTGCTCCTCCATCACGGTCTGGTACGCCGTAGCCACTGCCAAGGACAAGGGCAGGCTGCAGCGCATCATTCGCTCTGCTGAGAAGGTGATTGGCTGCAATCTGCCATCCCTCCATGACCTGTTTGCTTTTAGGACCCTGAAGCGGGCAAGAAGGATTGTAGCCGACCCCTCTCACCCTGGACACTCCCATCTGGTAGGAGGCTGAGGTCCATCAGGACCAATACCTCATGACACATGAACAGTTTCTTCCCGTCCGCAGTCGGGCTCATTAACAGACCCCCACTGACTCTGTCATCCCCAGGACAATTTCCTACCGGTCACTCCCCTGCACATCCCTTCTATTACACTCAACACTTTTACACTACACTTACATCTCACTTGTTTATAGTGCTGTTATCTGTTCGTTTGTGCACTTTATTTTATATTTTACTTTATTTTATATTTTTCTGTAAATTTTAATGTTTCTACTTTGCACTGTTGATTGTTGTTGATTGTTGTTAAATGTTATGCACCTCCCATCACGTCAAATTCCTTGTATGTTCAACATGCCATATCAATAAACGGTTCTGATTCTGATTCTACTTTAGCCAGAGTAGATTATCATTTTAATTTAAATAATTGAACTGGATTGAATGCATATTAATTGCAAATAGAAGATAGGCCACAATTCTAACAGCTTTACAGTAACAGTGGAAGTTAATATGAAGCCATACAGTAGCAGGGTTCAATGAAGACTAATCACTTTATTTTGTACAGGCGATGGTTCTCGCTACTCTTGCTATCTTGTTTTTATATGACTAAAACTTTTGAAAATGATAATAAAGGTTAATAATAATAGAGCTGAAATACTGATTAATAACTGAATAATAAATTAGTTTTTTGCTTAAAGTAAATGTCTTATTACTTAATTTTCTTCTCAAAGTACACCAGAATGCTACATTTTAAAGCTCATATTTAAAATACAATTCTCCTGGCGGAGCATGTGGCCGTCACTCCACCTTCTTGTGAAACAGAGAAACACGCACAAAAGCAAACAGCTACTGGTGAAGCATCTTACATGTCCGAGGTTATAATGTAACCTCGGACATGTAAGTATTTCTCTTTTACCTGATCGAGCACAGGCAGTATGTGTCTGGAGATATGTTCAGCACATGTACAACAGAGAAAAATCTCTCGTAATATTAATAGCAGTATCTAACCTCAAAGAGCAAATATGCCAGTTTCTACAACCACCGACATTGACCAATTAAAAAAAATCCATCGTTTGAGATTTATACATTTCTCTACTCGCAGCAGCTTAAAGCGGCATGTGAGATGATGGCCATAGTTATTGCCTTGCAGTGGGTAGAGGACGTCAGGCCAGAGAGAGTGGTGATTGCATCAGATTCATGTGCAGTACTGACGAGTTTGAAATTTTGCCACTCCAGATGCAGAGAGGATTTACTGTATGAAAGCACTATTCAAAATCCATCAAATGCGGATAGCGGTTAAATTTGTGTGGGTCCCTGCCCATGTTGGAGTCGATGGCAATGAGAAGGCGTTGAAGAGTGGGAAAAATATTGTTAATGTAAAGATAAGTAAGTCAGAAGCTAAAGTGGTGATTAAGGGACAAATCAAAAAGATATGGCAGACTGAATGGAATAAAGGGAGCAAAGGACGATATCTGTTTAAAAATAAACCACTGGTTGGGAGTGCAGGTCCTAGTGGACGAAATAGAAAAGAGGAGAGGGTAATGACAAGATTAAGGAATGGACATACTGGTCTTAACAGTTCCCTCTGTGTTATTGGAAAACATAATAATGGAATGTGTGAATTTTGTGATGAAGAGGAAACTGTGGACCATATTTTAGTGTCATGTCAGAGGTACGAGGCAGAGAGAGAAGTATTAAAAAGTGGTCTAAGAGAGATGGGAGAGGAGAATATAATTGATATATTAAAGAAAAGCTTTGGTGAAGAGTGTTGGAAGCCTCTTTTGGAGTTTTTGGAGTCAACAAGACTAGTGAATGGAATTTGAGAATTATATTTATTTTATTTTGTTTTGGTTTATTTTATTTTGTTTTATTTTGTGTTTGTTTGTTTGGTTTTCGTATTAGAGAATTACTTTCCTTAGTCCACACTCCAGATTAGTGGGTGGCGGTAATGCACCTAAAAGTTGTTTGCCAACCGCCATTAAAAACAAAAGAAGAAGAAGAAGAAGAAGAAGAAG